TGTGATGTTCAATTTTGAATCGCAATGAAATAATTGTTGTGTAACGGCTGTCGCTGGTGTCTAGGTGTTGCTGATACAGTTGTGAACGTCCGTGGCTGTATATGTGGTGACATGTTAGGACTATAATGAGTTTAAGACTTAATGAGCCTCTTAAGTGAGGACGCCAGCACTCTTTTTTTATATTTTAAAAAAAACAAAATTCCTAGCCTTTCCGGTGGATCACTAGGCTCGTGGATCGATTAAGAACGCAGCAAACTGCGATAAGTTTTGCGAACTGCAGCAGCCTTGAGCATAAAAGTTTTGAACGCATATTGCCGCATAGGGGTCAAACCCTTTGCTATGTCTGGTTCATTGTCATTATCTTTCAAAGCGAAAGCTTTATTGTATAATTGCTTTTGTGGCTTCTTTATGTTTTAAATTGATTGTTAGATATGTTTAATTGTTCGCATGTATCATCAACAATATTGATTTTTTGACCTGAACTCAGTCGAGAGCACCCGCTGAACTTAAGCATATCAGTAAGCGGAGGAAAAGAAACTAAACAGGATTCCCCTAGTAACGGCGAGTGAATAGGGAAATGTCCATCGCTAAATCATTTTGCCTAAGGCATTATGAGGTGTAGCGTATAAGCCGTAATTTTTAATCTTTTGTCTCAAATAAGTCCCCTTGACAGGGGTTCCACAGAAGGTGCAAGTCCTGTACATTGAGATAATTGATCGATATTTACGTGCTTTAGAGTCGGGTTGTTTGGGATCGCAGCCCAAAGTCGGTGGTAAACTTCATCTAAGACTCAATATTGCCACGAGACCGATAGCAAACAAGTACTGTGAAGGAAAGTTGCAAAGCACTTTGAAGAGAGAGTTAAAGAGGACGTGAAACCGGAGAGGTGGAAACGGATAGAGTCGGCGTATCTTTCAAGTATTCATTTACATTATTTTTATGTTGTGATCTCTGAGCTCCAGATTGGGACAGAAAGAAGCATCATAATTTTCTGTGATGCATTTGCTTGTTTGGTGCTTGGGGATGTTTGAGGCAGATTTGTAACCGCCGTTTTGAGGCCAGCTTGCTGGTACCCAAACAGCGTTAGCATCTTTTGTCTTGGACATTTGAGTATGGCTTACGGGCATTTATTGGTTCGATCTGATTGTAAGTTACGGTCGCATGCGACACGTGCTTTTCATTTAGATCGGTCCAGTTAATGCTCTCGTACTCGCTCCCCATGTAAAAGCCGGTCATCTATCCGACCCGTCTTGAAACACGGACCAAGGAGTTTATCGTGTGCGCAAGTTTTTGGGTGTTAAAAACCTAAAAGCGAAATGAAAGTAAATGGCTCTTTAGAGTCTGACGTGCGATCTTGTAAAAAAGGGCAGCATGGCCCCATTCTAACTGTTTACAGTAGGGTGGAGGAAGAGCGTACGCGGTGAGACCCGAAAGATGGTGAACTATTCCTGAGCAGGACGAAGCCAGAGGAAACTCTGGTGGAAGTCCGAAGCGGTTCTGACGTGCAAATCGATCGTCTGACTTGGGTATAGGGGCGAAAGACTAATCGAACCATCTAGTAGCTGGTTCCCTCTGAAGTTTCCCCCAGGATAGCTGGAGCTCATTAGAAGTTATACTCGGTAAAGCGAATGATTAGAGGACTTGGGAACGAAATGTTCTTAACCTATTCTCAAACTCTAAATGGGTATGATGTCAAAGTTGCTTGATTTTGAACTTTGGCGTTGAATACGAGTTCCAAGTGGGCCATTTTTGGTAAGCAGAACTGGCGATGTGGGATGAACCAAACGCGGAGTTGAGGTGCCAAAGTGCCCGCTCATTAGACACCATAAAAGGTGTTGGTTGATACAGACAGCAGGACGGTGGCCATGGAAGTCGGAATCCGCTAAGGAGTGTGTAACAACTCACCTGCCGAATCAACTAGCCCTGAAAATGGATGGCGCTGGAGCGGGCCACCTATACTCTGCCGTCATATGCTTGTATTTTCCGTGAAAAGTCTTGCAATGACGTGTAAGAGGGTCGTAGTGGTTGCAATGAAGGCTTTGGGTGTGCACCCAGCTGGAGCTTCCACTAGTGCAGATCTTGGTGGTAGTAGCAAATATTCAAGTGAGATCCTTGAAGACTGAAGTGGAGAAGGGTTCCACGTGAACAGTAGTTGAATGTGGGTCAGTCGATCCTAAGGCACCGGCTAAAGCCGTCTAGACACTGCGGGGAGATGAGATACTTAACGGTATATTGTCTACTCGGTTGCCGAAAGGGAAGTGGGTTAATATTCCCACACCAGGCATGGGAGATGGTGATCCGCAAGGATTACTTTGCGCGGTGACGCAAACGAACTCGTAGACCTCGTGTGGAGTCCGGGCCAGAGTTCTCTTTTCTGGTTTAGAGATCATGTCCCTGGAAGTGGCTCAGCCTGAAATAGGGATGCTGGTCTCGTAAAGCGCAGCGGTTCCTGTTGTGTCCCGTGTGCTCCACATGAGCCGTGAAAATACGAGGGAGGCAATTTAAAATCTCCAGCCTGATCGTACCCATATCCGCAGCAGGTCTCCAAGGTGAACAGCCTCTAGTCGATAGAATAATGTAGGTAAGGGAAGTCGGCAAATTAGATTCGTAACTTCGGGAAAAGAATTGGCTCTAAAGGTTGGGTCAGTCGGGCTGTTGTGTGAAACAGGTGGACTTTGCTCGTGGCTGCTTGATCTTCCCTTCGGGACGGCGCTTGTGGACTAGTAGTGAGGACTGCTTGTGGAGCGCTTCAGCTGCGTACTATTTCGCAAGATATAGTACTTCGATTGGCGCTGAACAACCAGTTTAGAACTGGCACGAACTCCGGGAATCCGACTGTCTAATTAAAACAGAGGAGACGGATGGTCTTTGCAGGACGTTGACCGTGTCTGATTTCTGCCCAGTGCTCTGAATGTTAAGCCAAGGAAACTTGATTAAGCGCGGGTAAACGGCGGGAGTAACTATGACTCTCTTAAGGTAGCCAAATGCCTCGTCGGCTAACTACCGACGCGCACGAATGGATCAACGAGATTCCCACTGTCCCTATCTACTATCTAGCGAAACCACAGCCAAGGGAACGGGCTTGGCAAATTTAGCGGGGAAAGAAGACCCTGTTGAGCTTGACTCTAGTCTGACTTTGTGAAGAATCATGAGAGGTGTAGCATAAGTGGGAGTCGTAAGACAACAGTGAAATACCACTACTTTCATCGATTCCTTACTTAATCGGTAAAACGGGAGTTGTGTCTACGGACCTTCATTTTTGTTTTAAGACTAGCCACTCGGTGGTTGGTTGACTCGCGCCGTTGACATTGTCAGACGGGGAGTTTGACTGGGGCGGTACATCTGTCAAATTGTAACGCAGGTGTCCCCAGGCAATCAAATTTCACCAGGCATTTTTGGTTTATGAGTCTGTGACGATCCGATTAAAAATTGCCTCAGGCAAAGTAGACCAAAGTGCATTAAAAAAAGATTACGACACCCCCGATTCCCAGGACGTCTCCGTTCCAAGTACTAAGGAAGCCCAGCGTTGCTTAACTTGCCAGATCGGACGGGATGGCGTGCTTTCAACGCGGTAAATTGCCTCAGGCAAAGTAGACCAAAGTGCAATTGACCAAGTGTCGTAGGGTAATAGGGTTCCCCCAGGCAATCAAATTTCACCAGGCATTTTTGGTTTATGAGTCTGTGACGATCCGATTAAAAATTGCCTCAGGCAAAGTAGACCAAAGTGCAATTGACCAAGTGTCGTAGGGTAATAGGGTTCCCCCAGGCAATCAAATTTCACCAGGCATTTTTGGTTTATGAGTCTGTGACGATCCGATTAAAAATTGCCTCAGGCAAAGTAGACCAAAGTGCAATTGACCTCAGGCAAAGTAGACCAAAGTGCAATTGACCAAGTGTCGTAGGGTAATAGGGTTCCCCCAGGCAATCAAATTTCACCAGGCATTTTTGGTTTATGAGTCTGTGACGATCCGATTAAAAATTGCCTCAGGCAAAGTAGACCAAAGTGCAATTGACCGAGTGTCGTAGGGTAATAGGGTTCCCCCAGGCAATCAAATTTCACCAGGCATTTTTGGTTTATGAGTCTGTGACGATCCGATTAAAAATTGCCTCAGGCAAAGTAGACCAAAGTGCAATTGACCAAGTGTCGTAGGGTAATAGGGTTCCCCCAGGCAATAAAAAGGGTTCCCCCAGGCAATAAAAATGCAAGTTTACTTTGAACAAATCAGAGTGCTTCAAACAGGCGTTTTCGCTTGAATGATCGTGCATGGAATAATAGAAAACGATTTCGGTTCAGTTTTATTGGTTTTACGGACTGAGATAATGGTTAACAGAGACAAACGGGGGCATTTGTATGGCCCCGTGAGAGGTGAAATTCTTGGACCGTGGCCAGACAAACTACAGCGAAAGCATTTGCCAAGAATGTCTTCATTAATCAAGAACGAAAGTCAGAGGTTCGAAGGCGATCAGATACCGCCCTAGTTCTGACCGTAAACGATGCCAACTAGCGATCCGCTGATGGAAATTATATTGCCTTGGTGGGGAGCTTCCCGGAAACGAAAGTCTTCCGGTTCCGGGGGAAGTATGGTTGCAAAGCTGAAACTTAAAGGAATTGACGGAAGGGCACCACCAGGAGTGGAGCCTGCGGCTTAATTTGACTCAACACGGGGAAACTCACCCGGCCCGGACACTGTGAGGATTGACAGATTGATAGCTTTTTCATGATTCAGTGGATGGTGGTGCATGGCCGTTCTTAGTTCGTGGAGTGATTTGTCTGGTTTATTCCGATAACGAGCGAGACTCTAACCTACTAAATAGTTGGTACATACTCTTTGTGTATACAGCTTCTTAGAGGGATTTGCGGCGTTCAGCCGAAAGAAATTGAGCAATAACAGGTCTGTGATGCCCTTAGATGTCCGGGGCTGCACGCGCGCTACACTGGCAAAATCAACGTGCTTGTCCTACCCTGAAAGGGGCGGGTAAACCATTGAAAATTTGCCGTG